GCACTTGAAGCATGACACTACTTAACATTCTGAATGGATCTTGGCTAACAACAGATTATTCCAAACATAGTTAATAATTTGACTACTTGATGCTCATTCATGCTTTATGAAAGCAGGTAAGGCAGCTGCTGCTCTGGAGAGTGTCTCGTAAGAGGTGGACAGATTAACCAGGGCTGCATGAGGAAGAAAATGTATCAGTCACATTGAATGTTTATCTGTTTTGCCTCTTAGAAGATACAAAAGCAAGTGATGACTTCTGAAAAATATAAGTAAATGGCTGGAAGTGGGGAGGCGACAAGCCTGCTCCATATGCAGGAAAAGTAACTCGTTGGGAGATGCATAGAAGAGGCAACAAAGAGGCTGAAGTGAAAATTGGGTGAGAATGGATTCCCTTTACTGAACAGGAGATGATGGAAGGGGTTTGTGGAAGGTACAGAAGCTCTTTGATGGAAGTGGCAGCCAGGGAAGAGAGCAGGTTTATTTTCAAGGATGTCACAGACTGTGAGGTTCAGTGCTGTCCTGTGGCTGAGGCAGGGAGAAGGACTGGAGCTAAATGGAACATGTTGGGGTTTCTTGCTTTGCTGAACAGATTTTGCTGGTTAAGTGTGAGCTGGCAGTCAGAGAGAAAATCTTTTATACGTGTAATAACATAGAAAACAGCGAGATGCTGTTCAGCCCATGCTTTTAATGCTGAGACACAAAGTATATGGTAGTCAAGGAACTGATCATTAAGTTTTTCTACCTTTCTTACTCTGCTGTTTTCTACTTCCAGAGAGATGGTGTGAAAAACAATTGCAGACCACTTTTATTTGTAGAAGCAGGTCTTTTTGCTGCAGGTAGAAGGTTGCCATCCTTTTTAATTATCTGAACCTGTTTAGCATCTCTTCTGAATGATGAGGAGAAAATTGTTTGTGCTCTGCTGCCCATCAGATCGCAGTAACTGCAAGTCTTGTAAACTTTGTGCCCTTTGTGTGAGAAATAGAGGAAATTAATTTCTTCTCAAACCGGATTTCCCAATTTGATAACCCAATATGGGGGTGTTTTAAAATATATATATGTCTGAACACTTGTTCCAGAGCACATGGATATACTTTACACTGGCACTCACTGAGTAGATTTTAGCCCGTATATTGCTAATGCTGAAGCCAGCGCCCCCCCCCCCCCGCGTTCTGTCACACAAGGAAGGGTATGGTGCAATGTGCAGAATTGATGTGAAAGGGTATTCTCCTGCCATCTAGTGGCATAAAGCCACTCCTTTTTGCTTAATTCACAATCTCATTAATTGTCTGCGATCCTCTTTTATCTAATTACTGTGCTATCCACACCTTGGCCATTTATCCCACATAACCAGATCCATTCTGAGCTTTATCAGCAGAACCAGATATGATAATCCCCACCTGCCCTAAATTTAAGATGGCAGTTGCTTCTTCCCTTTTTTTCCCACAAAGTAAAGAGGCATAAGTATTTTTTTTTGTCCTTGCTGTGACACCTTATGAAAAAGTCCTTGTTTCTTGCCTTACTTTCTACTTATTATTTTGAATGCCTTTCAAGTGTGCTGCTCTTAAATTGCTGTGTTTTTTTGTATAATATGCTAAGAAGCTTTTCCTTGACACTGGAAGATACTATTCACACAGGCAGAGAACATGTTGGCTGTAGTTGAAGACACCTCCAAACCTGGCAGATCATAGAACAGTTTGGGTTGGAAGAGACCTTAAAGCTCCTCCAGTTCCACCCCCCCTGCCACGGGCAGGGACACCTTCCACTAGAGCAGGTTGCTCCAAGCCCCTGTGTCCAGCCTGGCCTTGAACACTGCCAGGGATGGGGCAGCCACAGCTTCTCTGGGCAAGCTGTGCCAGTGTCTCACCACCCTCACAGGCATGAACTTATTCCCAGTATCTAATCTTACCTTCCCTCTGTCAGTTTAAAATCATTCTCCCTTGCCCTGTCACTACAAACCCTTGTAAAATGTCCCTCCCCAGATTTCTTGTGGGCCCCCTTTAGGCACTGGAAGGCTGCTCTAAGGTCTCCCCGGAGCCTTCTCCAGGCTGAACAAGACCATGAGTGGGTTCCTGTGTGGAACACGCAGCATTCACCTCTGAAGGAGCAGCAAGCTCTACAAAGCTATTGTACTTCAGAATGGTTAAACTGATGCTTAAAAGTAATTTCTGAAGCGTGCTGGTATCCCCTTTCCCTGTTTAGCCATCTACTTTTTGACTGACGGGCAGCCGCCCTCACCATCACTTACAATCCTCAGACTGTGCTTCACTTAAAAATGTGTCTCTGCCAGGATGTGTTACAGCTCCACACTGGTGGGAAGGGATGAAAACAGAGGCCATTCATCCCAAACAGAATCCTATTCATGGCTCAAGCTGTAAGGGACTTGGGCTCCCACCTCAGAAAGTCATTTGGAGCCTGTGCATAATTAAAACTACATTCGCTTTCCTCGGCCATTTAGCCTGGAATCTTTGCAAGATGTAGGTCCGCACCTCCTCTTTTCTTAAAGACCCATAGTGTAAAGGTAACGGAAACTGTGAATAGTGCAGAATGGCCAACAGAGCCCTGCAGGAGGAACTGCAGGAAATAATATTGAAACTGTGCAATGGCTTCTTTTTTAACACATAAATTATTTTGAATGAAAAGGGTCAGGGAAGGCCAGTGTTTTATTGGCAGCTATAAAAAGCTGTATTTTGAGTTTCTCTGCGTTAGTGTAAATGCTCCATCATGATGAAAGCAATCTGTTGGCTGGCCTCCATCTCAGCTGGGGCCCGGGAACATTTCCTTGGTGTTTCCTTCACAGTGGTAACAGTATGATACTTCAGAAAAATAATGGGCTGGGGTGTGTGTCAGGTGGGATCCCTACTGTGCCCTCCTAATTTTAAGTTATCCCCTGCCTGTTCCATTTAGTTATAATTTTATGGCTTTTACTCAGAATTAATTTAGAAATAAAACTCTTAAATCAGCCCATCCAAAGAACATGGCCAAGCTGAAGCCAAGCTGCTTACTTCTGTACAGCCTTTTTCAGGCCTTTACTACTGCTCTGACTGATGCCTCCCAGGTAGATGCTTACGTGCAGTTCATTACATCTTTGCTTCTCTGCAGTTTAGTCAGAACTGCCAGATTAGATGGGAACATGTAGTCAGGAATTTGCTAGCTCCAAGGCAAGATCTTCCTTTTTAATGATGATGCTTGTGAGCTTTTAGCTGTGTGTCAATGTGGAATAAGGGAATGTTTTCAATACCCAAGAAAAAGAGGGGCGCTTTTCAGCACAAGGGGAGTTGTCACACCTACAAAGTAAAGGATGAAGTCCCAAAGTGTCATATAGCTTTGGGATCTGAAAGATGGTCAGAAGCTGTTTATTTGGCATCTTTAAATACAGCTTTTGAAAAAGTGCTTCTGGCTGAGCTATTACTAGTTAGTATTACAGCAGGAGAGTGTTAGACTGACTGCGTGAGTGACAATGAATGGAGGCAGTTTCTTCACTTCTGCTTTCCTCCCTGCACCCCACAAAAATGGAGAGAGTGGCACCTTCTATCCATCATGAAGACTAAGGTTGGAAAATACTCTTTGGCTCCAGCCAGAGGTGGGCCTTGGAGCACATGTGGGTAGTGAATAGAGCCACTTAGCTGTGACTGCAGCATGTTCTGAGTTACACGTTTCACGTTTATAGAATCATCTGGAACTGAAAATAACTTTCAAGTTTTACTTCCTTTGGGATGTGCTTAGGTTGTTTCCCAGTTCAAATGGTGAAGGGAAACAACATACAGAAGACCTAGAAAATTCCAGTAGCACAGCTAACTGAATTAAAAATGGTTATAAAAGTAGAAATTACTTAATACCGAGTTCATTTTTGCAGTAAGAGGGCTGTTCTAATCTATACAGATGTGCCAACTCTAAAGCAACTCTACAAGTGTAATCCTTTATTGCTATTCCTCAAGAACCCCTTGTGCACCTTGCAAAAAGTCCCGCGACACATTGCTGTTTCAACAGACTTCATTGGAATCTGTTCATTGCTTCAAACAGGGCTGTGCTTACTCACCTTTGTAATGGGAAAGGTGTTTTCCCCAGTCCTCCCGCAGGCTGTGATTTAAAGGCATTCACTCCTGATAAACCGATTTGTCTTGACAAAGACAAGGACCACCAGCACAAGCCGCTCCCACCTAAGCATCAGTTAATTTTTAATACCTTGTTCAGCCAAAGAACCTTCAACTTTGAACCTGGTCCAATTCTGAACCAGAAGCGTAACTTGCTAACTTGTGGTGGGATAACCCTCTTGCTGCAAAACTCGTGTCTACCGAGAAGACCAGCGATGACACAGTTCTTTACCCATGAGCAAAGGAGCTCTGTTGCAGATATGTTGCAGATATGTTGCCATAAAGAGTGGCAGAAACCAGTTTGTTGTCCCACCATTGACCTCATTTTGTATTTTATCTTGTGAAGATAAATGCATGAGATGCAGCATCCTCTTGCAGCCCAGTTTGCTTTCCATCATGTGTGGACTTCCTTCACTGGACTTACTCTGCTCATTCAGGTAACAGAGTTGCTGAAGGGCAGTTCTTCGCTTTCCCTCGGACAATGGAAAGAGAAGTACACAGCTTTCGGTTGTCTGGAAGACAACAGGTTCGTGTCTTGCCGAAGGAGATATTCTGTATATTCCAGAGATGTACACAGATTTCTGGAGCACTCAGCCCGCTGTCCCGGAGCTCGGTGCGGATGCCACCTTCCTTTTACCCCTTTCCTGTGTGTTAGGCGGGCCTTTCCCTCCCGCTGCACCCGCCCTGCAGCGCTCCTTCCACCCGGCGCCGTGCCGGCCCTTGGGACCGCGCCGCGATACACCCATGGCCAAGGCTGCGTGAGCACTTGTGAGGTAACGCCACGACAGCCACGGCACCAAGGCCGCATCCGAGAGCGGCCCCTCGGCCACCGCCATGTTTCCCTCAGCGCCGCGCCGCGCCCCGCCCGCCGCGGCGCCATGACGGCAGCGCGCCGCCGGAAGCGGCGGGGGCGGCGGTGCCGGGCGGAGCTGGCGGGGCCTGGCGGGAGCGGCGCGCGGGCGGCGGCTGCGGGCGGCGCCCCCCCGGGGCAATATGTTCAAGAGAATGGCCGAGTTCGGGCCTGACTCCGGGGGACGCGTGAAGGTGCGGACCCGGCCCGGACCCCGAGCCTGCGGGGAGCTCCGCGGGCGGGAGGAGCCGAGGGGCGGGGCGGGACGGGACGGGACGGGAGCGGCTCCGTGCGGATGCGGCCTGAGTCGGGCTGCGGGCGCGTGTCGGAACGTGTCACTTGTGGGTTATTCCTGGTTTTGCTCTGCTTAAGGGCGTCACCATCGTGAAGCCGATCGTGTACGGAAACGTGGCGCGGTACTTCGGGAAGAAGAGGGAAGAGGATGGGCACACTCACCAGTGGACCGTGTACGTGAAGCCTTACCGAAACGAGGTGAGGCGCGACCGGGGGGCAGCTCCTACCCCGCCGCCTAAGCCGAGCCCCGCGTTGGGAATTGGGGGTTTAAAAAGCAGGGCTGTGAGGACGGGACAAAGGGGTGACAGACCCGCCAGCAGGCAGTAGCATGTGGATTTACTGCCTGACTTTCGTGCTTGAAGTCAGAAGAAGTTCTGTGCTTGTCAGAAGAAGCTACGGGCCTGGAGGATGGATGGGTGGAGGGAGTGAGCGAGGTGCTGGAGCAGGTCCAGAAAGGGGCAGTAGAGATGGTGTAGGGCCTGGAGCGCAAGTCTGATGAGGAACGGCTGAGGAACCTGGGGGGGTTCAGTCTGGAGAGGGCTCAGGGGTACCTTATCACTCTCTGCAAAGTATCTGAAAGGAGGATGGAGTGATGCGAGGTTGGTCTTTTCTCCTAAGTGCTAAGAGGTAATGTCCTCAAGCCGCACCAGGGGAGATTTAGAGTGGATATTAGGAAAAAATTATTCACAGTGAGGGTGCTCAGGCATTGGAACAGGCTGCCCAGGGCAGTGTGGAATCACCATCCCTGGAAATAGAGGTGAGGCCCCCAGTGCCTTGATTCAGTGGTGGTCTTTGACAGTGCTGGGATAAAGGTTGGACTTAATAACCTGAAGGGTCTTGTCCAGCCTGGCTGATTCTGTGGATGATGACCAGTAGTTTGGTGTGCTGTGTAAACCACCAGGAATAACAGCGTTTCTGTTTTAGGATATGTCAGCCTATGTGAAAAAAATCCAGTTCAAGTTGCATGAGAGCTATGGGAACCCCTTGAGAGGTGGGTCTTGCACCTGGCTTGCTCCTACAATTGGGATTTTGACTAGTTCCACTGGGGAGCTTTCACCCATATTAACACTTCTGTGATTCCTTCTGCAGTTGTTACCAAACCACCGTATGAAATCACCGAAACAGGCTGGGGTGAATTTGAGATCATCATTAAGATATTTTTCATTGATCCAAATGAAAGGCCTGTAAGTACAATGAACTTCTATCAGTGCTTAATTTGCTGCGGTGGTGTGAAGCTGAGCTGTGGGATGGATATTGCTGGTCAAAATAAGCCCCATCAGCCACGGAATGAATAGAGCCTGTGCCCGTAGGAGATGTATTGAAAAACTGGCCATGCTTTCCTGTTTCTGTGCTTTATTTACTGTTGCGTTTGTGGTATCTGCTCTGCCTGTGCTTGGCTTCTCTTGACATTTGCTAATACGTGACCACGTGTTGCACCTTACCTGGGTTGAGCACATACTAAGGATTTTTCTTCCATGTAGGTTCCTAGTTCTAGGGTACTTGAATTATTTTGTCTTCTTTTTTTTGTTCTTGGTCTTATCACACTGGGTCAAAACCAGTCAGAAGACAGCCAAGCTACTATGCTAGCAGTAGTCTCTTTCCTAACAAAACCAGGATAAGGCACATCTCTAGTTGCATAAATCATTGGAATGAATTTCTTTCTTCCCATTCTTCCCATTCCGCGTTTTCGGTGTATCTTGCAGGTTTGTTTGTTTTAGGCTTAGGTAGGAAACTCAGTTGCCATATTTTAGGGGAAGGGGTTGTTTATTTCTGGAAGGACTAAGTTCATTCTGCTGTGATCCTTTTGCTTTAGCCATTTTTTGCCAGATGAGGGGCAAACTGTTAAGTTTTTCTTAAATACGTGATAATTGGTAGTAGACTAGAAAGGGTTTCTTGTGCCATTGTGCTCGGCAGCATCCTGACTTGTGGTATTAATTCCCTTCACAGCTTCACCAAGCTGTCCTAAAGTTGGTTGGGTGTGTTTTTAATTTGCTGCTGTTGGTGGAAGGCTGTTTCAGTGCCTGTCAGGTTCTTCCTTTCCAGGAGGTACCAGTCAGGTGTCACTCTCTTCCCCAGCCATTCACAAGTGTGTTCATGGAAGGGGAGAACTCTGTGTCCCCTTCCCAGGTCGTGGTTCAAGTGGTCAGTGGTTCCTCAGGGATGGGCAGAGGGTTTCCATTCCTCACTGGCTTCTGCCATTTGCAGTGGTGTAATGGAAGAGTAATGCTGCAAAGCGAAACTTCAGTGAGAAGCTCTTCACAGTCCCCTCCTGGTGTTTTTCTTTCACAAGAAGGGTTGACACAGTCACAGAAAGCACTCTCTAATTGGGAGAGTTGGTTTGAAGGAAACCATTTGTTCGGAAATGTTTAAGAGAAGGTGTTCTTGGTAGTTTTTCTACACTGATCCTAAAATACTTGCCCAGGCATTTTTAAAGTATCATTAAAATATTTTAAAATTATCATATTAAAGTACTTTAAAGTAACTCTGGGTAGTTGGTGTGTTTTAAAGATTCATATTAAACTTTAGTAATTATTCTAAAGTTAAATGACATTTATTGTTGTGTTCCTGAAAGATTTTTAAATCCTATACAATTGTTCAGTAAGAACAAATACTGTTTGTTGATATCCAGAAGATGACTTGTATTTCTCTACAGTTGTCAATCTAATAAGCTGCTGTCTTTGTACAGGTAACCTTGTATCACTTGCTGAAGCTTTTTCAGTCCGATACCAATGCCATTCTGGGAAAGAAAACTGTAGTTTCTGAATTCTATGATGAAATGGTATGGAAGTTTTCAACATAATCCTCACTTTGTTTTGAAGAGCGTTAGTGATACCATGTATTTCTCTCCTTCATTAGATATTTCAAGATCCTACTGCAATGATGCAGCAGCTGTTAACAACGTCTCGTCAACTAACGTTAGGTGCTTATAAGCATGAAACAGAGTGTAAGTTGAAAATGAAAATACTTTAATCTTAGAAACGAACAATGGTTGGTTTTGCTTTTAGTGTTTTTTTTTTCTGGGCTGTAACAGTACAGTGGTCTTGGATGCTGCTAAAAAATGGTGGTTTTGCATTAAATTATCTTTGACTTTTGCAAAGATATTAATGCTTATTTAAAAACTTCTAAGATTTCCTGGTCTGTGTACCTGCTGGAAGAACACAACTTAAGGATTACTCACTATGAAGATGTTGACATGATCTACATCCAGTTTAACATCTTTGAAATTAGTAAAACCAGATAATAAATCAAGGTCACCGTGCATGGTACAGTTGTGTTTAGCTCATCTAGATATTAACTGCATGCAAAGATCACACTTTAAGCACTGAAATACAGAACATTTGGTACTGTTTGAGTCAAAGCAGCAACCCTTTGGGGATAGAGTAGTGTCTTGAAAGCTCTACCTTTTTCCCTTCTAATTCTTTAAGTGTAGGTAATTTCATAACATGCTTCTTAAGTATAGCTTAATGTTCTTTGAGTCCTTTAATCTGTCTTTAAAACTAAATCAGAATACTAAGGGAATTGAAGAAAGGAAATTAAAATACAGTAATTCATAAACTAGGATGTACTTAGTGAAGGTTTCTGTTCTCAATATTTGGATTTCATCTCTTTAGTACTCAGAAAGCAAATGTAATACTTATTGAGCCCAAACCCTACCTTGTTATTACAAATTCTAATGCCAACATAGGCCAGCTCACCAGGCCTTTGGCTCATCTGCATGTGCCCCTGACAGCACATGTTACTGGGTGGTTTTGGGCAGTCAGTGTCTGGAGCCAAGAACAGCCATCATTTTGGAGCTCTACAAAGTTTGGGTTCCCATCTGCCTTATGTCTGTTTGGGTGTGTGGACTTGTGAGCTACTTGTATTTTCTGCATCTGTTTAGCCTGTCTTGAGGTGGATTTTCCTTATGTTGCATGTTGTTACGGTTTATGTGTAGAAGATCTTTAATAAGAAAGTATTGTCCAAATTTAAACTTTTCTCACTAAAATTTCTGGATGTTTCTCCTGAGAGCAGATAGAAATTTTACTGGTTTTTGGTGGTATATATTCCCTTAAAATGTGCTACTGAAGCAGGTAAAAATTAAGTTGTTTGGGTTTTTTTGCCGTGATCCAGGATTATGTAATGTCTGGAATAGGAAGGGATATCCATGGCCTCCCTGGTATATTGGCTTTGCCAGCTTTGTCCAAAAACTTGTGCATGAGCAAATTAAAAATATCTCAGCAAAGCAGATTGAGACGTTCTAATGTCAGATATTCATAACAGCAGTGGCAGCACAACTAAGTCTTTTAGATACATAAACTCCAGTAAGGCAGAGAGAGAAAGTGGTTACAGTACATGGAAAAGGAGTCACAGGATGGCTGGAGAAGGGACCTCTGGAGGTCATCTGCTCCCTCCACCCTGCCCAAGCAGGGCCACCTACAGCAGGTTGCCCAGGACTGTGTCCACATGGCTCTTAAATATCTCCATGGATGGAGACTCCACAACCTACCTAAAGCAGCCTACATCAATGCTTGGTCAAAAAAGAGTTTCCTGGTGTTCAGATGGAGCCTCCTGTGTTTCAGTTTGTGTCCATGGCCTCGTGTCCTGGCACTGGGCACCACATACAAATTATTTGTAACTCTCTGTAATCTCCTATTTATTTGCTGTTACCATGTCAGGATTTTTGGTATTTTTCCCACTTAATCTTTAAAAAGCTCTGGAAAATTATTTATGATATAGTGAATTATATAACTCCATCCACACAACTGATTGGCTGAATGAGGCCCAGCAATATAATTTATTTATAAAATACATTAAAATACATTTTTTCCAGGACACCCCATCCAAATTGTATCTGTTGCAAATTTAAAAAAACATGATCACAACTTTTCATGGTACTCACAGTGTTCATTTTTCTTTGTTGCCACCACAGTTGCAGATCTTGAAGTGAAAACCAGGGAAAAGCTGGAAGCTGCCAAAAAGAAAACTAGTTTTGAAATTGCTGACCTTAAAGAGAGACTAAAAGCAAGTCGTGAAACCATCAACTGTTTAAAGAGTGAGATCAGAAAACTTGAAGAAGATGATCAGTCTAAGGATATGTGACAAGCATTGACTTGATACAAGAGCCTATACTGAAAGTGGAAGGACTTCTTCAATCATGACATTGTATGCGTTCTCTTCAGTTCTGTAAATGAGACTATGCAGATGTCACTTGCAGGTGATTGAAGTGTGTGACTTGACTTCATACATGGAAGAAGAGGAAGGTATCCTTGGTTTGTAGGTAAAATCTGTGGATACTCAACAGTTTATTTCTGGTAGAAGGTGTCTTGGAGACCAGGCTACTTGTTTGGTTTTGTTTGTTTTTAAACTGCATTTGAGTGGTATATGAAAACTTAATATTAAGTCTCGTATTAGTTCAATGTGATTTCACAAAATGCAGGTGTTTACTTTTTTACTTGGTTTTGTATTGATGGTTTAGAGATGCATCTTTAATGCTAAAATAAAATATGTGGTTTTTTAGTATTTTTTTGTCTCTGTGCAGTTGTGGGCTTCAAGAACAGCTGTAAACAGCATGCTCTGATTTAAGGCAGCCGTTGAAATAATAATGGTATGCAAGTTGCTTAAGTCTGGTTACAGTGATTTGTGCATGTTTGTCTGGTATCAGCACACTGAAGACAGCACTTTAAATAACAACTTATATCTGCAGTAAGAGTTTCTAGCCCGACACCTGCGTTAGCACATACAAATGCAGCAGTTACGCAAGTTGTGATCAGAAGCAGGAAATTGTTCCGATCCTGTTTTGTGGAACGTTGGTTAATATTTGCACTGTACTGCCACCAGTGCATCACACACATTGTCTCTGCCACTCCTTCCTCCTCACACTCTTCTGCTCCAGCCTGGAGTCCTTCCCTTGGGCCTCCCACAAACATCTCCAGTGTGAGTCCTTGAACAGGCTGCAGTTCTTCACACGCTGCTCTAGGGGTGCAGCCCTTCAGGAACAGGTTGCTCCAGTGTGGACTCCTCTCCCCATGGGGCCACAGGTCCTGCCAGGGCCCTGCTCCAGCGCAGGCTTCCCACAGGGTCACAGCCTCCTTTGGGTACCCCCCTGCTCTGGTGTGGGGTCCTCCCTGGGCTGCAAGTGGAGGACCTCCATGGGCTACAGGGGGCACAGCTGCCTCACCGTGGGCTGCACCACAGGCTGCAGGGGAATCTCTGCTGTGGCACCTGGAGCACCTCCTGCCCTCCTGCGCTGACGTGCCTGTCTGCAGAGCTGTTGCTCTCACGTATTTATTTTGCCTGTAACATATCCATGTTTGGGTTTTTTTTCCTTTTGTACAGGTAAAATAGCTGAACAGGGATGGTGCTACCTCAGGGTTTGAAAAGGCTTGGGCACCTTTTGTACAGCTTCAAGATGCCGTGTTGCAGTTAACTCTGCATTAGAGTCAAAAATCCCACATTCACTTTCCCGTAGAAAACAAATATTGTCAATGCTTTGAAAACAAAGTACACATTTCTTCATATTTGAAACAATTGTTGATTGGCTTTTACCATGGCTTGGTAAAGATTTAGAACTGAAACAGTTTAAACACTCAATATGTAGACTTCAGTTTTTCGTTAAGAAAACAGCTGTTAAAACTTGGCATATTTAGCTATTAGATATTATGTATGCACATAGACTGGGGAGCAGCTTGTGCCAGTGTGTCCACTCAGAGCCTTCTGCAAATCCCAGATTTTCCGGCTACCTAACTGGTTTGGTTTATTGATTCAGGAGTCAATTTCCTTTCAAGCAGCAGCTGAAGGAGAATGTTAGGCAATTTCAGTACAGTAGAATGTGCCATTGTCAGAGCTGGGCTCTGAAAATAAGACTCGTGTGGGCCATGGTGTATTATACATTCTCCATGTGTAATGTCATGCATTTCACATTTTTTTAGTGAAAAGTAAAATCATCCATACCATTTTCTTTGATGATACCTTATTATCCAAAGGGTTTATTTGGCTGCTTTATTATCTTTGACAATCATCAGTAGCAGATATTTAAGGAACAAAATAGTAGGGTTAGTGTGAAGTGAGTTCGGGTGTCTTCTTTTAGCTTCTTGCAGATTTATTCCATTTTCTGAGATTTTTAAGGTCCATTTGTGTGTGGTGAAACCAAAACAGGAATGGAAAGCACAGGTTTCATGGTACTAAGTTATATGCAACACTATTATCTTTGTATTTGACAGAATAATACTAATGTTGAGTAAATCAGATGGAATATTAAAGAGGTTTGCAAGAGCTGTGACTAACAAAAAGAGGTCTGCTGCAACAGGCTTGAATGGACCAGAAGAGAACAGTGATACCTTTTGAATCCAACATTTTCATAAGAGCTTAAAGTATTCTTTTGTTTACATATTTTAAATATCCCATAAATAGCCTAGTGTTCAACGTCACAGAAGCAATGATCCTGGACCCACTGTTAGTAGCTGTTGACATGCTAGGCCAGTGACATGATTTTTACCTGTGGTTAGCAGGGGGTTTTCTCCTTTAACTTCTTGTATTTCTTTTTCCTCCCCTTTATGCTCTCTGTAAAGATCATACAAGAGTCATTAGTTCTCCCCATCAATAGTAAGGCAAAAAAATATTACTAACATCTGTTTGTGCTGAGCAGTTATTGTTGATAGAAAGCAGGAAGAATATCTTCTGCTTTATAAAGTTCCTTCTTATGTTCTGTGCTTTCATTAGAAAGCACTTTTTCAGATGGTGAGAAAGCCACTGAGCCCTGCATTAGGCAGTAATTAAATCCTGGGAAAAGTTAATGAGAATTAAGAGGTTTAGAATATCAGCTTAAGAATAACTGGAAAAAACCCACCTCCCTGCATTTCACAAGTAAAGCTATAGCTAGCTACCTTCTCTCCATGCAGGTGCCTGGTTCTCAGTTAATAGATAGGTCCAAACGTAACCTATGTGCTCTGCTATTACAAGAGATGCTGATGCAAGCACCTGAGATAGTATATGTACACAGTAAATGTACAATATAGAGCTGACCTTCTAGTGCATATCATTTTCAGAGTTCCTAGAACTGAAATAGTGGGACACCAAACACACAGTTGTATTTGACCTCCATTGCCCTGCAGAAAAACCCAACCGCTACATTCTACTTTTGGCAGCCATTCAAAGAAGCGATTCCAGGCAGTTACAGTTCATGCTTGCCAGGGGTGCTCACTTACACGCTAGCTATTTGTACTGCTCAGACTGACTTTAGACTGTGGTTTCATCCAGAGTTACAATGGTGAAACACAGATGTATTTCAATTTGGTTTGCAAAGGAAAGGAAAAAAAAACCCAGCCCTCACTGTGCTATAGGTACAGTTTGATCATCACTGAATTGCACAGTAATTTTTCCAGTTGCCCACACTGGAGCTTTAGACCCCACTTGAAACAACCCTTTCACAGGTAAAGATAAAACATGGTTTATCTCAGTCTCTATGCTTAATGTGATCAATGCTGCCAATGAAGAATGTTTCCTTCAAGCATCAAACATACAAAAGTGGTAGTGTCATTGCCACTTCCACTAAACAGCCTTGGGGGTTTTAAGTATTTTGCTCAGACATGTTAATTGTCATCACAGTAATTTCAGACCCTGCCTGCTTACTCATTTACTGCTCAGTGTTATTTATTGCTAGTCCTTTTTTTATGTAGCTCTACCTCATACAACTTTTTTCCTTTGCCTTTGGGCTTGGCACGCTGTACCTTGCAGACTGTGAAGCTGTGTAAGGGAGGTTTCTCATCAAAAGTGTCATTACTGACAGGAGATGTGTAAATACACTGAATTCAAAGATTTACTTGAGAATTTTTGTGGTTATCAGAGGTGGGATTGGAAGGAACATTAAGTAATCCTGTTCCTTTTCTTTCTAGACAGATTCTGGTAATAACACCAACCTAAGGACACTTTTGCTGCTTATGCTTTTAATCCATATTAAATACATCAATGTTTGTTTGCTTCTTAATGGGAATACAGACTTAAGAGCAATTCAGGTTGTTTTCAGACATGAGGTGGTTTCCCAAACGCCAGGTGGCAGGGATGTCCAAAGTATTCTCCAGTCTCAACAGCATTTTAGCTACTGAGATTTTGGAAGATTGGTGATATCTTTGGTGCCCTCATTTGCTTTGAGACTTGATCATCTGATTAGACAAGGTGTATTTGTAGTTTGTCCAGCAGCCTGTGAGCAAATCAAATGTGCTGTGCCAGGAAGCAAAAGAAGTGTGAATGTTCGCAATTTTTATTCACTTGGGCAAGGGAAGCAGCTTTCAAAATATGAATCTATGGGGCTGGTTTCAGGTTGGTTTTTTTGCTCTTTCAGGCTGAGATTGCATGACAATATGAACAAACAAAACGTAAGTTAGGGACTGGACTGTATACCTTGCTTGCACTCAACTGCAGGTGCAAAATGGCAGGATTTTCCGTAAGTAAAAGTAATTCCTTTTTTAAGCTTCATGTTGACAGAGTTCATAAGCTTCTTTGCTTAATGAACACTATGAATGAACCTTTGGCTTCCAAACATGGTGAAATGTTTAATTTTCCCAAATACAGTAGGGAAGAACATCTCAGCTTAAGTAAGGAAAGAAGAGAGTTTGGGTTAATTTTTAACATTCATTTACAATACATTTATACTATTTCCATTTTAAAATGTTTTAAGCTGGAACATGAAATCATTTAAGTTTCTAAGTGAAAGGCTGGCCTATGCAAATAGCCAAGACACATCTGAAATTAAGATTTACATTTCAAATTTCTTAGGAAAAACCTCTCCAATGCCTAGTGATTAGGCCATAAAAAGAACTCATTAGCATTGGAAAATGCAGTATTTGTCCTACTCCCTCCTTTGTAATTACTACACTTTTGAAGGTGTTCATGTGTTAAATGAGTGGCTGGCACTTATTCCCACAGAGAGAAACAAATTCCATCTGATCTACTGGCTTCTGCTTTGCCAATACTTCCCCCCGAAGGGATCGATAGTTTTTTTCCCCCAGTGCCTAATTCTGCAATGTCTGGCAAATCTCACATTTTTCCTACTCTAAAATTCAGTCTTATTTCAAATAACGTATTTTATTTAACCTCTGATCTATGATGTTATTCAAATGCATGGGTTTCATATAAACACACTTCTAAAGCTTTTCAGTGAAACGTTCTTGTATCTTTATTCATAGAAGCAGTAAACGAAGACATATGGCTAAAAAGGTCTTCACCTGCTGAACTGATCAGACAAAACAGCACTTCAGTTTAATGACTCTGAACAAAAGATCTGAAATCACTTCACAGTGAAATCATATTTTCTTAGCTTGCATCTTTAAGCACTAGCATGATGGATAAATATAGGTATTAAGAGGTGGCAAAAATCAACAAGGTTTATGCCTCTATGCATGTAATCTTGTTACAGGGTGAGTTTTTGGAGTACTGATAGTGCTGCAGCTGTTCCATGGCCTGAGTCTTATGAATGTAGCAGGGCTAGCATGTGGCTCCCTCTTCCTGTCTGTATTTATTAAAGCAAGAATTAATCCAAGTCATTTTTTTCACTGTCCTGATTCAAGTGATAACTATGTCCCACTTAAAGCTCCATTCGGGTCCTAAGCCACCTGAACTCTGAGTAGGTAATATGGAGAATCTTGAAAACTTAGGTTTGAGGGGCTTGTGTTAACTTCTGGAGTTATTCCTTGTTTCTGTATGTAAGTCTATGTAGTAGTTAAAGCATTCACTCCATAAGCTAAATAATCCTGAGGAAGACTGAACCTGTATCTCATGGTTTTAGATGTTCTTAACCATGAGATCATAAAAGTACTCTCTACTGCTGCTGTTCACAGTGAGCTGCAGACAGTCAGCTCTGCAAGACTTATTAATTAGGGTATTGGAGAATACAAATTCAGTGCTTTTCTTCAACCTGAATAAAGCCACCATCTCAGAAAAGGGTTAGATCCTTAGTAAATGAACATATCTAAATTAGATGGAGTTAATTTCCTATTACCTTCAGAAGCCATGCACCTTTTAAGTAGAACAAATCTATATACTGAACAAATTTGAACTGATTTTTTTCCTTCCTGCTCCAGGTTAAGCACATTTGCATGGTGAGGCAAGAAACAGCATAGGCACTTAGACTGGACTCCACTGCTCTCCTAACAGTGTGTTTGGAAATGATGAAAGCATCTGCTGCTTTGCACAGCTTTGCGGTTGCTCTGAGTCTTCCTTTTTTAGCCCTTAGCAGCAACACCCAGGAACTGCAGTGTTCCATGAACATGGGCACTGCCCTGGATCATGACAGAATGTAGTGGGCAAGGGTAAAACAGATTTAGTATCCACCCAACTGTGAGGCCTGCAAGCCAGCATATGGTGACTCTTCTTGGCTAGTAGTTGTACTCTTTGAGCATCTCATTATTGACCAGTCTCCTAGGTTCCTGTTTCCTGCTAGGTTCATTCTACAGGATTTAACAGCCATGAGACTGCAATTTCAAACAGTTCATGCAGTTTAGCTGAATTTAGAATAGAATCATAGATTAGTTTGGGTGGGAAAGGGCCTTAAGATCATCCAGTACCAATCCCCATGCAATGGGCAGGGCCATCTCACACTACACCATGTCACCCAAGGCTCTGTCCAACCTGGCCTTGAACACTGCCAGGGGTGGAGCATTTCCAGCTTCCCTGCGCAACCCATCCCAGTGCCTCACCACCCTAAGTTTTAACCCATTACCCCTTGTCCTGTCACTACAGTCCCTAATGGAGAGTCCCTCCCCAGCATCCCTATAGGCCCCCTTCAGATACTGGAAGGCTGCTATGAGGTCTCCATGCAGCCTTCTCTTCTCCAGGCTGAACAGCCCCAACTTTCTCAGCCTATCTTCATACGGGAGGTGCTCCAGTCCCTGATCATCCTTGTGGCCCTCCTCTGGACTTGTTCCAACAGTTCCATGTCCTTCTTATGTTGAGGACACCACACCTGCACACAATACTCCAGGTGAGGTCTCACAAGAGCAGAGTAGAGGGGCAGGATCACCTCCTTTGACCTGCTGGTCACGCTCCTTTTGATGCAGCCCAGGATACGGTTGGCTTTCTGGGCTGTGAGCGCACACTGAAGCCGGCTCATGTTCATTTTCTCATCAACCAACACCCCAAGTCCTTCTCCACAGGGCTGCTCTGAATCTCTTCTCTGCCCAACCTGTAGCTGTGCCTGGGATTGCTCCGACCCAGGTGTAGGACCTTGCACTTGGCATGGTTAAACTTCATGAGGTTGGCATCAGCCCACCTCACAAGCATGTCAAGGTCCCTCTGGATGGCATTCCTTCCCTCCAGCGTATCAACTGAACCACACAGCTTGGTGTCATCGGCAAACTTGCTGAGGGCGCGCTCAATCCCACTGTCCATGTCAGCGACAAAGATGTTGAACAAGGCCGGTCCCAACACCGATCCCTGAGGGACACCACTCGTTACTGGTCTCCAGCTGGACATTGAGCCATTGACCACAACTCTGTGTGCGGCCATCCAGCCAGTTCTTTATCCACTGAGTGGTCCATCCATCAAATTGATGTCTCTCCAATTTAGAGACAAGGATGTCGTGTGGGACAGTGTCGAACGCTTTACACAAGTCCAGGTAGATGACATCAACTGCTCTACCCCTGTCCATCAGTTCTGTAGCCCCATCATAGAAGGCCACCAAATTGGTGAGGCAGGATTTCCCCTTAGTGAAGCCATGCTGGCTGTCACCAAGCACCTTGTTGTTTTTCATGTGCCTTAGCATGCCTTCCAGGAGAATCTGCTCCAAGATTTTGCCAGACACAGAGGTGAGACTGACTGGTCTGTAGTTCTCTGGGTTTTAAAATTCCCTGGAATTTAAAATAAACTGTGCTATAAATTGTGCTTGCTTTCTATTAATAAACGAACAGTGAGTCCGAGTTTTGTACATTTGCTGAGAATAGAGAGAAGACACTTCTTTTAAGGCTGTGAATTCTTTCTGGTACTTTTTTTTTTTCCCCTCAAGAATAAAAGGTAGAAACAAAGTCATTACTGTAAAGATGATGAAATTCATTTGTATGAGTTTCAGTGTTACAGGGTGACACAGTATGTGTGTGGAAAATGGAAAAGCAGTAAAACTTTTCATGGTTTCATTGAGAAGTTAAATTTAATTAAAGTTAGTTCATAGTCTAATCTGACCATGTCCATGCACAAGGCTGTTGATATTGGTTACTGGCCTGTGTCACCTCTCCACGATCTTGTGTAAAAATACCCCTTAAAAACCAAAACTCTGTCGCTGAAACTCTACTGTACTGTACTGTCCCTGAACAATAAATTAATTAAATTTTATAATCTACAGTATTTTAATAACAGTAACATTTTGAAAACTGCATCTCATGCTAAATCACTACATCAGACACTTGTTATTACAGTTTTGTTGGAATTTCTGCCTAAAAAAACCCCACCACCAAATAAATCAAGTCAGTTACATGAGTGCATTCCAATCTCTTTACTGCTCTGTAGTCATACCTGTTTTTTGAGGACTGACTGGTTTACTGCACTTGGACTAGAACTACATCCAAACTAACTTCAGTAAGACATTTTGTAATTGTGAAGCACAACTCGATTTGAAACAACATTCTCATGATCAAAGATTCTCAGAAGCTTTTGTAGTAATTGGAGAATAACAACTATATAAAATGTGTTTGCTTCTCATATTTAAATTAAGCATAAAGATAAAATGCATGAGAGGGTTATTAAATGAACATACAGATACTTCATCTGATAAGACCAAAGCAATAAAGTGGAATTTTAATTTAGGCATTTGACTGACTTTGTCTAAGAAAAATGTTTTTGAAGTAATGCTGGCCTTGTTCCATAATATCCGAGAAGTTCACTCAGTTGTGGATTGCTCCACAGGGATATTCCCTTCAATGCTGATGTATTATTATTTATATTGTATCCTGAGAATACTGTACATGTGAAATGCACAGGCAGAGTTCCAGGCCTGAAGGCCTTCAATCTAAATGGGCAATAGAGGATGGGTGGTAAAATAAATTGCAGTTCTTTACTTGAACTGTAAGCAAAGTCTTTTAGCTCTAAAATTATACCCTTGATCCACTTTGAACTGAAGAAGCATTCAGTACAGTTCTCATCCTGTGGCAACACAACTCAGTCTGACTACACGGGGTAAGCAAAGCGACTGCTGTCTATGGCTTTCACCATCTTTAACAAAATAGGTTTCTTTTAAAAACTAATATTCCTGGAAGTCATTTACATGAAAATTTTTCTTATGGTTTTAGAAAAGGAGAGATGCAAATGAAACTTGAGCCAAAATACTCTGAAAATCTCCCATTTGTATCAGAAAGACTGATTTGAGGGTTGGAGTGGGCATGCAGTCCTTTGGTACGGAACTAAGTAGCCTTGGGAAGCAAACCTAAACCCCCGTACTCTAAGCATCTTGCTTCATTACTTTGACAAAATATGCTTGTGCCCAACAACTGTGAATGAAGAACGAAAAAACCAAATACTTCAGGCTGCTTCATAGAGGTTTGCACTGACAAGTGGATACGCAGGATATGCAGCCTGCCCTGACCACTAACACAAAGAGCAACTATTTGAACATCTTTGGAAAGGCCAAAAGTAGGACAGAGAGAGAAGAAAAAACATCAAAGATCATCCATGATCCACAGTTACCAGTTTGGTTCTTCTGCCATAATGAAGCTCTCTTCACAAGGGGGCTAAAGCTTTCTTAGCAGTGGAATAAACATCCCCAGGAGTCAAAACCTCAGAAACATCAACTTTTCTCCCTTCATCTTGACAATCTCATTCTTTGGGGTTTCTTTAACATAAATACAAGCCAAGCAAAAATGTTCCGTTGTCTCTCTCTCCTCCTGCTAAGAGGCAGTATGGAGAAACAAAGACAACTGGGACAAATACTTCTCTATGGTAGAGCTGGCTAGTCCCACCTGAATCAAATAGCTTTGGAAAATATTCCGTAAGCAGGACTTCCTTCAGACGCTTCCCCATACTTGTTTCTGCATGAGAGAATAATGTTGGTATATATTCTAATTCTGTACCTTATTTGGCTTAAAATATATGCTCTTACACATAATTGAAGGGAAATCTAATTATTTCTGCTTAAAATAATTATTGCTTAAAATATAATTAAATTAACAAGTCTGCTTTTATTTCCCTTATTTCAAGCAATTATGTAGTTTGCTTCTACTAGCTTTATGTGTGAATTTAGGGAGTCCTAAAAGTGAGAAATAATATACTGGCTGCAAAATGAGGCACTGTAAATGCAGCTTTATATTCTATTACCAATAAGTCTGCTTTGCCATACTCCATCTTCCCTTCTTCTATGCCTTTTCTGAGGGAACATACCCAAAATTATCTCACAGACTTTTATGTGGGATGTCTCAGCTCTGATTTTAAAAGTCATTTTTTCAAGGACTGGAGTAGTTTCTCACCTTGGATGGCCCTTTACCCTCACTTAATAGTTCCTGCCTACATGGTAAGAAGGTTCTTGCTTTCCTGAAGAAACCCACTCCTTATACACTGGTTAGAAATAAAAAATCCCTGGTGTTTATGTTTTTCTTCTCTTAAAATGTCAGGCTATAATACATAGTTCAGCAGCAACTTCATAAACTGAGCTCCCCCCCAAGCAGGCATGGGACCCTTCAAGAGATGGGTAGGTGATACTTTTCACAGCCCTCTGATTTTCATCTGTCTGTATAAATCACGCCACTCAGTTATCCATTCATGGCTAGATGTGATTTTGGAGTATGTGGGACAAAGGCACATGAATGAAGGAGAGCAAAGCCTGCTGTACCACTGTTCAGAACTGTTGATCTTGCACTTTCTTTGTCCACTGCTTTCACTAACAAATTATGTTTAAGAGGCAGGAAAGAAGAGTAATCCTGGCAGTGTGAGCTTAGGTTCCCTCTGCAGATTTACTGCTGAGCAGGCAGAGTTGTTTTGGAAGACAGAAACAGTGTGTGTTTCACTGTTTTTCAATGTGACACTTTGACTTCTTCAGAGAAGCTTTTATTTCTTGCATACTCACCCAGAGGAGCTGCAGAAGATCACTGTCAGTCCAATTTACTTCATTATTTACATCAAGGTTAATTTGAAGTAATGTATTTTATCTTTTCTACTCCAGATAGGAAAAACACTAGATGAAAACAAACACCATTATATCTGATTTTGCTAAGTCAGATCTATCCCTGCTAGGAGAAAAAAATCCAGGCTGCAATTTTGAATGTTCTTGAAACATTCTTCCTGAGCACCTAAAAGCTGTTTTTTCTTGAAAAAGACAGGGTCTCTTATTGCCCAGGACACAGTAACTTATGTGTTAGAGAAAGGAGTTTTAGAAAGGCAGATACATAACTCTGGCATGTAATGTCAATTAGAAACTGACATTATGTCAATTAGAAACTGACATTAAAGACCATTTCCTAAAGACAATTCAGTCATTCTGCCAATCTTAGTTATGCAAACAACCAAGTAGAGCAGTGATTATCTGCCTATGCCAGTGCAGGTTTCTCCACCACTGCCCATTGCACATTTTTGTGAAGGTACCTGCTGTCCCTATAGGCACCAGGTCCCCTCAGAGTCACTTTAATAATCTGCAAACATGAAAAATGTTTACTTAAATGTAGCCCTGGAACCTGGGATGACTAATCCACCCATTCATGAGAACCATCAAAAAGATACTTGGAAGGCTTTATAAAAAACATTCTCTAAGTAAGTCATTTAGTAAGCTGATGGCAAAATACATACCACTAACAGCTGTTGCAGTAAAAGCCTAGATCAACTTGCCAGTTTTCTTTTCTCACTGTCTCAGCTCCTGTATGTTGCCATGTAGCAGGACATAGTCTTGTAAGGGTGCACCCAAGGAAAAAGTAGTGTTATTTTTAACATTTTCTCTCTAGTAGTCACCATTCGTAACCTACAACATATTCTGTGACAAGACTGAGAAAAACATTGATTGATTTAAATCTGCCTTAATTTTTTACCAAAGGCAAAACCTCCACACACTGGTGCTTAATCACACTTTGCATCGTGTACAAGCATGCAGTTTTTCATACAAATTCCATAAGGTGTTTAATCTGCTATTGCAAAAATACTTATTTGCATACAATCACACCCTGCTGTGGTTTTAAATGTTTTCTCAGAATACATTTTGAGCCTATTATCTTAACCTCACTGCCTTTCTACCCACATATAGACTAGCAGACATGCAAACCCTTTAATTTTTATTCAGGCCTGACTGTAATTAAGTTGAAGTGCATTTGTTCTTTGAAAGTACAGGACTCAGCTTATTCCGTAAGTGCTGCTGGTAAGTACACTGTTGTTAAGTTGCTGAGCTGTAGCAAGGTTTGCAGCTTACGAATAAAAGTTCTTATTACAGGAGAAAACAGTGAGGGGCAGTTTGGGATATTCTGGTAGTCTGAAATGTTTGTTCATGCCATGCATGCCAGCTGTTGAACAGAAGCAGTCAGTCAGAACAGCCCTATCTTATCTTTCAAAAAATCTTAACCCAAATACCAAGAAATGCTGACCATGATTAGAGAAATCAGGGTGAAGAGCATCTTTCTATTGGCTTTCTTGCTGGAAACAGGTTTGATCCAGCTGCAGAGAATTTGCACTCACAATCAGATTGGGCGACATGGCAGGACATGCTATGCTAGGTATACTCTTCCCCACCAGTGTCTGACAAACTAATTATGTATCATTTGTTTAAAGGAGACATTAGAAGTAAAACACAAACACTGTAAGCATGGGTAACAGTGCCTTTACTGACTTGTGCTACAGCTGCACCCTGACAAACAAGTCCTCTTCTTGATGTGTTTTTACAAAGCATTTTAATGACTACTGTCAAGCCACTTAGAAAGTACCTTTGCTGACTCTTGGATTTTCTTTATGGCAAATACAAAACGTCTTGTCCCCCTGTGTTCTTGCACTGAACTTTAGTATATATTTATTAATCCAAACCCACTATATTCCACTTCTAAGAAAAAATATACCATATGAAGTAATGTATAGTTAGGGCACAAACAAATAGTAAGAGCCTATCTTAAGAGGACGGAACTAAGTAGGTTGCAATGGGCCTTGGGAAGACACCAAGGACCACCTACTGCTCAAAGCAGGGCCAGTTAGAGAAGATTGCTCAGGACCACATCTAGTCAAGCTCTGAGTATCTACCAGGAGTCACACAACCTTCCTGGGCAACTTGTTCCAATATTTGACCACCTTCATTATATAAATAAATACATACATAAATAAATAAATACATCTATCTCTGCATCTAAGCAGGATTTCCCATGTTTCAACATGTGTCCATTCCCTTTTGGCCTACCACTGTGTAACTCTGACAAGAATCTGACTTGGCCTTCCATGCACACCACAGCATAAGATCGTCCCTTAGCTGCCCCCTTAAGGCTGAACAGTATCAGTTCTCTCAGTCTTCTATAATATACTGTCTGGGTTCAGCAGTAGCAGTCATTTTTTTCCCCTTCTTAGTAGCTGGTGCAGCACTGTTTTTGACTTTTGGCCTTGGAACAGAGCTGATAACGCTCAGATGTTTGGTTTGGCTAAGGACTTTTCTGAGCCTCATGCTCTGCCAGGGAGGAGGGGAAGCCGGGAGGAAGCAGAGACAGGACACCTGACCCAAACTGACCAAAGAGGTATTCCATACCACAGCACGTCATGCCCAGGATGTAATGCGGAGTTACCCGGAAGGGCTGCGACTGCAGGGCTGGAGGAGGTATTGGTCGGTGTTTGGTCGGGCTGGGGGGGCGAGTTATCAGTTGTCTGGTGCTGAGGTGTTGTATTCTCTTCCCTTGTTATTTTCTCTTATCATTGTTATTATTGGTGGTAGCAGTAGTGATCTGTGTTATACCTTAGTTACTAAACTGTTCTTATCTCAACCCATGGGAGTTGCATTCTTTTCGATTCTCCTCTCCGTCCCTCCACGAGTAGGGGGAGGGCAAGAACGGGGGGAGTGAACGAACGAGCTGGCTGGCTGGGCTTAAACCACGACAGTTCTTTTTGGCGCCCAAAGTGGGGCACAGTCATCCGGTGGTTGCTTCCACCATGGTAAGCACATGGTGCTTGCCTTGGCGGGTTGGTGGCAGTGTGATATAGTCAATCTGCCAGGCCTCCCCATATTTATACTTCAGCCATCGTCCTCCATACCAAAGAGGCTTTAACCGTTTGGCTTGTTTAACTGCAGCACGTTTCACACTCATGAATAACGTTCACCACCAGGTTCTGCACCCGGGCAGCAATATATTTCCACAGTGCAGCAGCCCAGATAGGTTTACCTCTGCGTTGCCATTTTTTCCAGTCCCTTGACCATCTTGGTGTTTCTCTCCTGTACTAGTTGCAAAGCAGCCGTACTGTATCAGACTCCACAGGTATGCCAAACTTGCTTCTCAACTTAATGACCAGGACTACACAGTCAGGAGGACAGTATAAAGAACAACTCAGGTATAGCATAATCCTTTTTCATATACAGAATTTTCAGTAAAGCGTTGGTTAGCAAAAACTTGAACTAAAGGCCAGTGTATTCTGTTCTATCTACTAGTTACCAATGCTCCACCTCTCTTTTGAATTTAGTCCCTTTTTGAAAATAATTATAGTTTTAGATTCCACATTTCTGGAAGCAGTGAGGTCCACACTTTAGTTCTGCAGCATCTGAAAAAAAAGACTACTTTTTGGTTGGTTTTAACCTGCTATCAATTACTTACTACAAAAAGTGCATGAGAGTTCCCTACCTTCTCTCCACAAACGACCATTTTATATAATTCAAATATCTCACCTCCATCATTTAGGCATTGTTTTGTTTTTTTCAAAATGAAAAGTCCAAGTGTAGTCAAGTGTAGAACAGAAACTGTGCTCTATGTTTTATTATTCTTTGCTACCTTTACCTTCTTTCTGACCTGGAAAACCAACTTCATACTGTTGTCTAGATGTGGCCACACCACTGGTGTACACAAGGATGTCACAACGATTTCTGCTCCATTCTGTCTTCCTTTTCTAATAATTCCTGGTATTTTTGACTTGGAACTGGAAATTAAGTTTCTAAACAATTACCTATAGAGGCTCTAAGAACTTCTTTTGGTGTAACAGCACATGTAGAACTTAGGTTCATACAATTAAGATTGATTTTGCCTGTAGGCATTATTTTACAGCTATTGAGACTGTCAACTTCTAGTTGCTGCTCAGCAGAATGTGATCCTCTTGAAACTCCTTGCTGTCAGCTTTGTACTCCACTACTGTAAAGGATTTTGCATCAGCAGCAAACTGTGCTGCTTCCTTACTCAGTCTCTTTCCAACACCATTTCTGAAAATGCTAACTAGTGCAGGTCCCAGCATGAATCCCTGTGGGAGTCCAATCGTAACTCTCCTGTGGTGTAAAAAATGACTATTGCTACCCGTTAACCCTTCTCCTTCACCTAGGGAAGACAGAAGACACAAGACAAGCTTTCTTCCTAACCTCTGACAGCTCATGTCCTTTAGCAGCACTGGTGAAGGACTGTGCCAGAAGCTCTTTTGAAATCATGGCAATGAATGCATCACCCTGGTTTATCAGTTTGTTGATTTTGTCAAACAACTCCATAATTATGACAAAGCTTCTCTATCTACAAAAACCCATGTTGATTTTTCCATACTCTGACGTATTTGTCTGTATGCTGAAGCCTCACCCCAGCTCTCTGTCAGTAATTTCCCTGTGTGACCTGAGACAACTCTTGGTGACTACACCAGCAAAAGGACTCAGATGCTGAAAATGAATACTTCTGATCATTAAAGCCAAAATGACTGTCTTCAAAATTCTCATCCAGTTGTTTTCCAACTATGGAGATGCCTACATTCCATAAATTCCTATTTCAGTGAGGTTCCCAAAGCATCTCTGACTGCTTGTACTGAGTTTGCAAAGCAAGGTTTTGGTAGTGGGGGTCTACAAGGGTGGCTTCTGTGAGAAGCTGCTAGAAGCTTCCCCATGTCCAACAAAGCCAGTGCCAGCCAGCTACAAGATGGGCCCATCACTGGCCAAGTCTGAGCAATTCAGTGAAGATGGTAGTGCCTTTGGGATAACATAGTTAAGAAGAGGGAAAAAAATGTTAATTTCTGTGTTCACAGAGAGAGCATAAAACAAAACCCAGGCCCTCCTCAAGCTGAGTTTCAGGGTTTCTAATCACTGGACTATAGAAGAAGGACAGGATGGTATCTCCTATCCCTTAAATATTTGCATTATGTATAAAGGGGCCTCCTTAGGTCTAAACATGACCTCTTTCTAAACATGAAAAAGTTTACTGAACTCCAAGCAGAGCAAGCAGCTCCTTCCAACTCAGTTTTGATGATGTTGAGAAACACACTTGTAAGTTTTGCAGCTGTACTTCATTACCTGATTTGCATCTGCACTGAAACACATCCCATGTAGTTGTGTTGGCAAAATGAATTATTTGCTTGTGTCCTGGTTATAAGTTTGTGACATGGACCTAACGTAATACTCCTGAATTAGCACCGTAGTGGTTGATACAAAGGCACATAGTCCATCTGCCAATTTTCCAATAGCATGAGCAGTAATACCTGCTCATGGGACACAACTGACACCATCCCAGCATTTTATGAGATTCTTTACCACTAATCCCTGGTCACTGTAACTTCAGTCACATAAATGTCATGGGCTTTTCACAGTGTACAGTATAGCCAGCTTCTTGTTTCTCCACTTGCTTCCACCAAGGACCATATAGGAAAATTGAGCAGAGAACTAGCTGTGACATGACTGACTTCACCTACCAGCAAGGTTTTTCAGTGTTAACTGCCACAAATCTGAGCAGTGCAGTACTGACACCCTCTGCAGACCTAATCCACACTCCCTTGCAACTATAATGAAACCGTATTTCTTCTCTTGAAAAATAAACACAGAAATAATTCCATTAATGCTAATGAAGTATCACCTAACACAATGACAAATGCCCTCAGAATACCTAAGTATTTATTCATTGAATGAATAAATAAATAAGGCCAAGGGCACTTGCTGCACGCAGAGATTTAAAATAACCAGCTGCTTTCTCCTGTAAGAGGCATCTATTCTGTGTCCTGAATGAGGAAGGGGGAAAACAGAAAAATAGTGTATGAATGATAGGCTACTTAATTCTATCATACTTTGTGCCCACAAGCGAGTCAAAATTACAGTTGCACAAGTTGCTGATTTTTAAAAGTCTGACATTGTGACAATGCTCTTTGAACAGTTTTGTACAGTCAAGTGTGTGCAGTTCTGAGGCCCTAAAACTCTGAAATACAAATGGGTGAAGTAAGGACATAGCAGCAATCTTCACTTGGAATTTCCTTGCTTTTGTCAGCTGATGTCAGATCTTGAATGTTATTGCAACACACTATAGCTTTTTTTTTTTGCATTTAATTAGATTTACATCCCACTTGGTTATCACAGGCTAGTTGGAAGCAGACGTGTACATTCTACAGTCAGCACATTGACGCTCCTCTTGGGAAACAGCCAGCAAGAAGTTACAGGAACTGCAAGTGGCAGCCTTTGTTAGAGGAATGAAAACAGATCAATTTGGTTAAGGAGAACATCCATTTGTGAAGGGAAGTGAATTAGAATATATACTTGGGAGACTCAAAAGGCAGCTTCACTTGCAGTGATGTTTTCCAGGCTTTTAATATTCACATGGTAAGGACCAAGCATCTAGTATCTCAAGAATACATAGTATCTCAGACAGCAAGCTTAAGAAAACACCTAAAGTTTAAAATTCTGTTTTTGGTAGCTTATTGTATTATCTTTAAAAGTCTGCTGACCAACTGCCACAGAGACAAATATCTGCCCTTCACAGGTTGGTACTCAGAGCTCATGGATGCTTTAACCACATCAGTGGTATATTTGTACAAGAACAAAACAATCTGTACAACTGAGGGAAACCAAATTACAATATGAACAGCCACCTGAGGAATTCCTGGATGACCAGGTCTGCTCCATTTTTCCCTGAATACCACATGAACAAGAGGACAAGGTCTGTCATATTCCAGCAATCATTTCAGGAAAAGTTTTGCAATGTGAATTACAATGTCCAGCAGCAAAACACCTTTATTTGCTATTGTACATATTTTTTCCCCACTTTTAACTAATGATGACAACCTAACTAATGATGACAATACTCGAAGTATTGAACTACTGGTTTAAATTATTGGCTTAATCTTGTTGTGTTGGTGGTTTTTTTGTTTTGTTTTGTTTTTTTTTATAAGGGTTTTGTTACAGTGTCCAAAGGACACTTCTGGGGTCAGAATAAAAGAGCTCTAGGTAGCCTCTTACAGCAGAGAAAGAGGGCGAGCTTCTGTACTGCATTTCAACCAGAAACGTGCTTTTGATGCTGAGTCATACATGCTGTGAGACAGTGTTACTGACACCTACAGCTGGGTTAGGTGGTGCCTATAGCGTATCAAAGGCCTTCTTTATTACAAAACAAAGTGACTGCAAAGTTCTGTGATTTGTCATGAGGCTGTTGCTATGGTTTTAACAGAAACTGTTTACTCTCCTATGTTTACTTCAAGAATAGAATTTATAGTTGAAACATTAAGGATCTTAATCAGTATCCATCTCTGAAAATACATCCAGGCTTCATGCTGGGGAATACGCACCTCATACTGATCAGAAAATACTTCCCTGATGAGAAGACAAACTACACATGAAATGGGATAAATTCCAAAGCTCTTGGGAAGAAGAAATATAACTCCTTCACTTCATACCTTTGAGAAGTTTGTTGCCACAAATCTCTGAACAATGCATGACAGGGAACTGCAGAAACACAATGCAAAATTTGGAAGTCTGTTCCCAAAGAGTCCCCTTTTTGTCAGGCTCAGGCATTAAAAAGAAAGAATACAAGATAAATAAGGGAGCACTTTCTTAACCAGATGAATCTGTTGTTAAAATGTTGTATGGTACTGGACTCTCTCGTTTCCAGAATTGAATGCTGCCTAAATCAGTGTAAGCCACAGGCAAAAGCACTTGACCTGCTGAGTCCAAACTTCATGATAAAGCTCACCACAAAATGTTGGTGCCACCTGGAAGAATTCTGGAGCTGGAACACAAGGGGTCTGTGAACTGACACTGAAATACGTTTTACAATGAAACGAGAACTTCTGGAAATACAAACCACAGTATATCTGACACAGGTCAATTCTATTTCCTTTTCAATGACTCCTTACAAAATATTTATATGACCTGCTAATTTTTAAATAAAAAGGATGGGTTAAACTGAAAATTTTCATTTGGGGTAAAAGTTTCAGTATTAATAAAGGAGTTAATTCTAAATAGTGCTAAAATTTAATACCTTTAAGATGAACGTTTAACCATGAAATGGTTTACTCACCAGTTATGAATCAGAGAACAATGAAATGTATGGTTCCTTTTGATGCCTCAGAAAAACCATGCATTTAGCATACCCAGTAGCCACTGCATAAGACCACGTAAGAAATGCCCAGGCAAACAAACTGAAACATTTAGCTACTAAAATAATGATTGTACAAATGTTAGCTACTGGCTAACCACTATAGAAAAGCTTTAAAGGTGTCAGCAGCAATTTCAATTTTTAAAAAGAAAGAATATGAGTTATAGTGAAACAACAGAGGAGGTCTCTGACTTCAAAGTTGATCTGAAGAACGTTTAGGAAAATCTAACAGAACTGAAGATGCCATCAAAGGACTTAAAGCAATCTAAGTTCAGAATGTGCAGAAGTTTGCAAACAGATATGCGATCTCTGAAAGACTAGTAATGGACTAGCTATCTGGACTAGCTGCAGTAATCCCAGTTTGGTATGACAAAAACGACAGTAGAAATGACCAAGAACCAGTATGTCTTGGATCCAAAACATCTGTGAAGTCAGAAAGAGAAGGAACTGTGTGGAGACCTCATAGCAGCCTTCCAGTATCTGAAGGGGTCCTATAAGGATGCTGGGGAGGGACTCTTCATTAGGGACTGTAGTGATAGGACAAGGGGTAACGGGTTAAAACTTAAACAGGGGAAGTTTAGATCGGATATAAGGAGGTAGTTCTTTATTGTAAGGATGGTGAGGCACTGGAATGCGTTGTGGAGGGAAGTTGTGAATGCTCCATCCCCGGCAGTGTTCAAGGCTGGCTTGGACAGAGCCTTGGGTTGACATGGTTTAGTGTGAGGTGTCCCTGCCCATGGCAGCGGGGTGGGAACTTGATGATCTTAAGGTGCTTTCCAACCCTAACTATTCTATGATTCTATGTGACCAGTCAGAAATTCTCAGCAGGAATGAGATGTGGTAAGGTCTTAAGAAGACAGGAAACCACCTGGAGAAAGAGCCACAGAGAACAGCAAAGTTCCTGAAGTATCTAAATCCAAAATTGGTCTGTCAGTAAATCCGAGTGACCTGGGTAAGAAAACAGGTAAATGGTAAAGACAACCAATTTGGCAGGTGAACAAAACCAGCACTTTACCTTTGATGAAGACAGTGAACTTGACTGTCGAAGAGGCACTATGCTATCCAAATTTAATACAAATCCTGACATATAAACTCTGCCATTCACATAAGCTGGTGAAGCCATAGTGAGAGCTAGAGGGAGTATAAAAAGAAATAAATGACCCAGCAGAATAGACATTTGTAGACTTTGTTCCTTGCTCATCCAGATGCTGCTGAGGCAGCTGTGGAAAAATTGCAAGGTACAACTACTTATCTGGATGTGGACTCACAGATCAAGATCAACAACTGAAGCCAAGCAAACTTCAAGGCAAGTGTGCATAACAGACAACATGAAGGTCACAAAGAATACTGCAGATGTCTTAAGAGCAGGTCATTGCTTTGCAACCCACTGATATATTACATTTATGGGACATGAACATATACAGTATGTTAGATGACAAAGTTTGCTACGTGTCTTCACTTATTACGTGACTCAGTTATAGGAAAATCCCATTTCCTCTGTTTTACCCATCTAGCTCTCTGAGCACTGACTCACACACAGAGAAGCCAACAGCTGCAATGGTACAAATCACAGTTGTGTGCTTTCTCCCCTTTTCCTTCTAGATACTATCACCTTTCTAGCATGTACATCTGAAGAAAATCTCTGCATGGACTTCAGCTTCTCCAGCTCTCATGCAACCTACAGATTAAGTTAATGTTGGGGTAGTGGAGTACTGTCATCCATGTGCTTCTGCCACTTCTGCAATGAAGCAGTGACTGTCAACAGAAGGGAAGGGTGAGCAGCTGTCAGAGTAAGATTCTTCCTGCTCTCTGTCAAAGACTTTAAATAACTGAAACACAGTCAAAACATGAGTTGCACAACCTCTGTGAAAGTAAGATACATAGACCAGTTCTGTGAAGTAACTGGGCAACTGGTATTGTTTGGTGGAGAGGTCAGAAGTTAGAGCAAGGCCAAAGAAGCCAGACAGCAAAAGGGAAACATATGCAGCATGGTCTGAAACAAAGCTGATGAGAGCGTTGTGCAGGCTGCTGGCTGCTCTAACCACAAGCAATGTTTTTGGTTTGCGTGTGTGTACTGGGACAGTAATTACACATTCAAGATTAATTGTAGATTACAAGGTCTTCTGGCCCAGGACCTGTTACATGTATTGGTCTGTCAACAGGCAACACACGAGATGACACGTGGGTAGTCACAGTAAGAACAAATATGTGGTGTTTTTTTTGCGCCAGCTAACAGGAACGTTCGGTGTTTCCACAAAGCTGCACGACACACAGGTGTTGCACTTTCCTCTCATTATTCTTCTTACCCAATTTATTCCTGTTGTATCTTTGGTTTTAACTGATACACTGTCCACTCTGCTTTCAGTTGCATGTAGTGCACTTAATGAAAACAGCACAACTTCAACGGCTGTTGATGAGTTACCGTGTCAAGTGCCTAAAACACTGTGGCACCTTGTACAGTGCAAGTGAAAGCACTGCCTCGCCAGAAATTCAAACCAAACCAGCTGACCCAATCCTGTCCAGAGCTGTGTGCGCAGTTACACCTTTAATTCTCTATTTATTTATTTTTACCTGAGAAGCCAGTAAGACCCGCTCCGTGGCCACCTCTCTCGCGGCTGACCCCTGCACCGCTCTGAGGCGCGCTCTCCACCGAGTGCCGCTTACCCAGGAGCAGCCCTCCCGCCCCTCCCGCCTGTTGGGGTCGGGGCCGGGACGGGTGACATGGCCGCTACCCCCGCCCTTAACGGCCGCTCCGCCGCGCCTCGCCTCGCCCGCTTGCCGGCTGCCCCCGCCCCCGGCCCGCTGCCCCCGGAAGGCGCTCGCGCCGTGCCCCGGAAGTTGTGGCGGGCACAGTTCGGCCCAGAGCGAGGCCCTGTTGCCGCTGCTGTCGGGACGCGCAGCCGTTACCTGCGGGGCCGCCGTCTTGCCCGTCATAGGCGGCCCGGCCGGCTCGGCTCGGCACGGCACGGCGGCCAGCGTGGGGCTTATGGCGGAGGTGGGTGCTGCTCCTTTCCTTTCTCTGCTTGGATACCTCTCGTGGGGATGCCCAGCCGGCTCCGCTGGGAGGGGGCGGCAGTGGAGTCTTCTGGGGCCGAGCCCGAGCCCGGCTCGCCATGGGCGGGAGCAGCCCCGTGTCTCGACTCCTCCCGTGAGAGCCGCGCGGGGACGTGCCATGCGGGGGGACCTGCTCCTTCCCCGGTCGAGATGTAGGTCCGGAGTGTGGGGGCTCGCTGTGGGGGTGGCGGGGCTGGGACCCTTGGGGTGGGGACCGTCAGGGGCACGGGCTTGTGGGGGGCTGCGGTCGGGGGACGTTTGTTGGCGGGGAAGGCGGCGGGAGATCAGCGCCGTGTTCTGGGGCGGGAGGGAGCGAGCGAGCGGGGGTGGGTGAGCGGAGTGTGAGTTTAAAAACAAAAGACGTTCGAGTCGTGCTGGCGGTTGGCTCGCTGGGGCAGGGCTGGCGCGGGGTGCGGAGCCCGGCTGCCTGACCGCCCGCGCGCTTGGCGGGTGTGCGAGTTCAGCCTCATCTTGGGTGACCTGTCAAGCGCCTGCACCTTCCTCTGGCTCAGCTGCTTCCATCACATGCTTCTCAAGACAAGCGCATGTTCTGTTCCACGTCGCCGATCAAGTCCTGGGGCTTTCGAGGTGTGAGCCCTGAGACTAATTGAGAGCTCTGTCGGGTCAGTGGGTTAGTTAGGGTCAACAGACAGAGCCTCTTTCGAGGGGAAGGGCGTCTTCCGGGCCTTTCAAAGTGATGCTGTCTGTATCACTGAAAGTGATACCTAGCTTACTTGTTCCTGTTTTAAACTCTTCTTCCTCTGACATAACCCTACGTGTGAATGTAGTGAGGTCAGATATGAAGTTGCAAAGGTCAAAAGGTGTCTCCGTATTCATTTGCCTCAGTTCTTCACCTTGATCTTGCAGTTTAGGTTTTGGGTCTTTTTGTGCCTTTTTTTTTTCCGTTTTCATGTGGGAAATGAAAGCATGTTTCCTCATCTCCCTGGTCACTGCATCTTGTTCGCTGTTAATGTGCTAGGCGCTAGAGGTAATAATCATGACCAGAAATCGCTTGGAATGTTGTTGGACTGTGAGTTGAAAATAATCCTGTTACTGCAGTGAATACCTACTGTAGAAATCAGAGTTGATTTTAGTCAGCATTGAACTGTCATTTCATATTAATAATGTTTTTAACAGTATTTTATTTGTGACTTTTTTGAATAGCCTTTGATTTATTTTTATTTTTTTTCCTATTTAAAGTGCTAGTGACAAAGTTACATTTAGTGTTAATGAGCAGAAATGTTTTCTGAATAAGTATCTCTTTAATGGCATTGTTAGTAGTAATTCTGTATTATGAATTTACCATTAAATCTGCTCTGCTAGTTCTACAATATTAGGGGACTGAAAAACTAATTTTTTTAAGACTTATGGCTGTGTTAAAAGTAATTTGGTATTAAGATACATGGCTCCAGATCCAATAAGCATCCTGTTTTCTAGTTAAAGTCAGCAGAACTGCCAGTGAAGTTCATTGTGTGTCTTCCACAGTTAGTAAGTGCATTTGAAAAGCACACCTGTCTGTGCCTGCGTAGAAAGAAACCTGTATCAGTATAAATCAACAGTTCAAGTCCAAACCCTGTTAACTCCGTTCCAAATGGAAGGGGATTAAGAACGTTATTTGTTGACCGAGATTCCCTGAGTTTATTTGCTTCTGTGTCAAGAATACTTTGAAAACATTTGTTGAAACAATGTGCTAGCAGTCACATGTTAATCTGGTTAAATGGCTTTCCCGGGTTTTGCTCACTTTCCAGTTCAGTGTCTTTGTCTTAAGTGTTAGTGCTGAGTTGTAGTCAGAATAAACTGTTCTCATTTCTGCATAATTCTTACAGGCACAGTAGTTTGGAACGCTTTCTCATGATACAAGAAATCTCTGTTAAAGAGAGGAAAGGTTGTCTTACTGTTGCAATGGGCAGATGGCAGTTTGTGGAAGAATCTATATTTGTAAGAAAGGGAGAGTTTCATGAACTGGAAAAATATACAAGGCACTTGGGAAGACTGGATACATGAATCTGATTCTTCATGTCAGTTCTACAGTTCTTGAACTGTGATGTTGGTATGTTTTGTCTTTTGAATTGATAAGATTGTTTCTTTTACTTGTTAACTGGCTCAACATAAATGTATTTATTTGCATAGGAAATAATTCCCTGCCAAATCTAATGCTCTAGTAATGAATTTCTATTGTCTGGATGTTAGCAAGATGATTGCTAACTGTCTGTACTCTTACTTATGACACTTTACTGTTCAAAAATTAGCTTGAAAGTAGCTGTATCCATGTTTATTAGGGGTCTGATTCTGAACACATAGAAATTAATTTTGTTCACTTCTGCAACCATTGTGTCTTGTAGTTTAAGCAAAACAACTTTTTGAATAGTGGATGAAATTCACTCCTGAGCAAAGAGGTTTGTAAGACCACTTTAATCACCGGAACCATTGTTTAAATTCCTTGTAAATACTAAACTACAGTTAAGATGACTTAACATGACTTCATTGGTTTAATTGTCTGTGTTCTTCAATGCAAATATCTGGGGTGATTTAATCAGTGATATTTAAAAGAATATCTGGTGAAAGTA